GCAGGCACGGCGCCAGACTCCCTCTTCTTATGAGATGCGTGTGTGCAGATGCTCACAGAGGATACTCTTTAATCTTAAGAAAATGTTATCAGTGTAGGAATTTGAGACTAAATCATGTTCTCATGTCACATCCACAAATAGGGTTTTGCTTATCTAATTCCGTTTTTAGTAACTTCTAAACACCATGCCAACCTTCCATACCATGCTGCTTAATCCTCCTAGGAAGTCTCTAGGTAGGTATAATAACTTGCATTTACCAAAAGGGACTCCTGAGTCAGACACAAGATGTTAAGAAATGTGCCTGAAGTAAGAGAAAAGCAGGCTTCAAGTGCAAGACCATTGACCCCTGGACCATCCTGTGTCCTGATCAGTTTCTTCATATTGCTAGCATCTGCTCCCCATCTTTGTACCATATCTCCAACCCCCACCCAGGCCAGTGCCTCAGAAACATTACAGTATCCAAGATGTCTGATTTTGAGAGTGTTCCAGCTACTGGTTGGTCATTTGTTTTTTTAACTATACCACTTTTGTAAATCTCCAGTCTAGCTCGGCCAATGTCTCCTCACATCATCTGACTGTGAGGTTGGTACCGGGGCTGTATGTTCCTCCTGGATGTTCACTTATGGCTGAAGCCTATCTTCAGCCTGTCCTCATCAAATTGTTTTCCTTCCGCAGCAAAGGACCTAAGACACGAGAGGACAGCACGTGGGGATTCAGAGCAAACACGGAGGGGACAGAGCCGTATTCTTCACACAGACGGTCTAGAGCTTTTGAAGGCCCAGGAGGGTGTCTGCAGAGCAAGAACAGAAGTGTGTGGGCCTCTGGTGCTTCCTTGAAATTTTCTGGTCAGAGGCTGGAGCCAGTTCAGAGAAACACCAGGGAGCTATGTGAACAGTATCCTTGATGGGAGCTGAGTTTCGAGGAAAATCTACAGCAAACCCTTTCACTGTGGGTTTTCTGGAAGAAAGCTATTCTTAGAGAAATTGGCTCTGGCATGCGAGGAGGCCAGCACACACTTCTCTGAAACAAAAAAAAAAAAAAAATCTAAAAGAGTCTTCCAGGCTGCTTTGCATGAGAGATAGGCACCCCTTCCAAATGTTGGGAGTGTGGACTGTTTCCCAAGGTTAAGTCGATTTAAAAGAGTCTGCAATGGCTACGGATTGAGAAAGGGAGTAGGGAGTGTGGCACCATGCCAAGCATTCCTAAGTGAGGAGATGTGAATCTGGATTATAGGTGGCCACGGGCAAGAGGTAGAATTCTTGATATTACAGAGAAGGCCAGATTCTATGTCTCTGGGCTGATAAATCAAACACACCTTTTCTGCCGAGATGCATCCTGTTTGAACTCTGTTCCTCTTTCCTCCTCTTACTAGAGCACCTGCTGGTGTTCTCTCCCTGCTACAAGGACACAGTTTATCTGTCTCAGAGACTTTGGGCTACCACACAGGTACCCAAGCCTGGGTACGGGCACTGCTGATTCTCCCTACCTCACACTCTTTCTTACACATCACCATTCAAACTAACTTCCATGAACCACGGGGACTTAATTCATCTGCTTTAATCTCTCAGCTTCATTTCATCACGGAAGAGAACGAGGCAAGCACAGTGCGAGAAGTCCTGTGTGATCCATCTGGTAGACGGTGGGGGCCCAATGAGCAGGGGCAACCTCATTACCATGTCTGCATACATTTGCATGAAGATGAGCTACTCTCTAGTTCACATCACACTGTATGTGTGTGGCTAGCCTCTGTCTGCAATCAATCCTCTTGATTGTAACTCCCCTCCACCCCCAAGATAGTGTTTCTCTGTGTAGCCTTGGCTGTCCAGGATTCACTTTGTAAACCAGGCTGGCCTCAGCCTTACAGAGATCCGCCTGCCTCTGCCTCCCCATGTGCTGGGATCACAGGTGTGCGCCCGGCTTGAACATAACTCTTAAAAGAACTGACTGCCTTCATGGAGGCCCCTGTTCAAAAGGTGCCTCCTAGGACTAACTCTTGTTGGCACTAAGAATGAAGGACAGGATACTGCAGCAGCTAGAGCTGTGAAATAATGATTCCTGCTGGCAGCATATTCTGTGGGATAGACACAATGCTAAGCATCTCGTAACACATGCTGTTTATGAACCATTGAGGAAGTACCAGCAGCCCGCCGTTCTCAGCTGAGAGAATCAAGGCTCAGAAAAGCTATTTGCCAGTGGCTACAAAGCAAGGCCAGAGGTAGCATGGCGGTTTGCTGGAGCATACCATCGTAACCTTCACTTGGCTGTTGTTCATCTTTGGGAAGACCCTACCTAGGCTGTCCATTCCTGTCCATTCCATTTCAGATCTTACAGGCTAGGCCATTACATATCTTTTATAAAACTTCCAGAAAAGGCAACCTGTATGTGTGTATATTATATAATGTATACACATACTCTGTCTGCAGTTCCCATCATTTTGTAAAATAAATGGAATTTGGGGGAACAGTAGAAAGAACAAAGTCTGGATGCTGCTTTAAAATGACAGTTTTGCTCAATAAAACAAACAAACAAACAAACATCAGATTGTCTTGACTTTATCTCTTTAACTTTTTGTGGTTAAGAACTCAGGAATCATCTCATATTAACATCCTGTGTGTCAACATAAGTTTTAATATTCAATGTCCAGGAGAAAATCTAATCACCCGGGCCTGTAGAGGGTATGCTTTTATTGTAGGCACCGGCAGTTCTGAACTTTTGAAGAATTGAGCTGACCTGTGAGGTTCACACTTGGGGATCAGATGGGAAACTGAAAAGGAAGGAGATCGACCGAGCTGGGGTGGTGTCCCTCCATACAGTCTGATGGTCTAACCTGACCCCTTCCTTTAGACTGAGTTAGGATCTTGGCCAAAAGGAAGGTTTCCAGGTGCCAAAGAACAAGATATAAAACCTGGCAGGTGGAAGGAGAGAAAAAAAAATGAAAAAGATGGGATCTGTAAGGATGTGAGGGCAGGCATCTGTTCTAACCAGAACATTTCCCTTGAGAGGGGCCAAAGTTCCACCCTGACATGGGCAGATACCCCTGACAGAGAGGAGTACAGGGTCAACAAAGCAAGGAAAGACAGGGCAGTGGGAGAGAAGTGGAAAGATCATAAAGGCTAGGGAGGAGAGGGAGATGAACCAGGAAAGGAGCCAATGATGAAGGAGAACTAGCACAGGAAAAGAAAAGCAGGAACATGGGGGTGGACAAGAGGAAGAAGCCAGAAGGGGAGAGGTGGGTCTGACTCTCCAGGAGACGGCACTCTCTGGGTCCAGTGGACAGCTACAGCGTGACCAACCCAACTGCTGGTGCTGTGAAGGGAAGGCTGTGGAAGCAACTGTGCGATGGCCTCACAGGGCGTGGCTGGCAGAAAGCCCTCCCTACCCACTAGCCCCCTTCCTGCAGTGAGTGGTGCAGACATGCCTGTGCCCTGTGGGCCTGGGGCAGAGAATCAGACAAGAGCTGGCGAAGCTGATGAAGGAACAAACTAGAATGCCACTTTGGTGGACCATGTGTGTCATCTTCCCTTCTGAAGCAGGGTGCAAGCAAAGTCCTTAAACTGCCCCACGATGGGGTTCCCATTTCCCCTCTGACCTTAGCTCCTAATACCTCCCCCTTGTTTCCTCTACTCCAGTCACAAAGGCCTCCTGGTATACCAGACACACTCATACCTCAGGGCCTCTGCACATGCCACTCCCTCCCCCTCTAACAATCTCACTGATGGCCACTTTTTCTTTTTTACCCCATCACTTGCTTCAACTCCTTTCCTTGCTTCTTTTTTATCCCCATACCAGTTACCTTTAAATATATCACTCGAATTACTTTATTATTTGTTCTCTATAGAATACATGGGCCACAAGAGCAGACATTTTGTCTACACTGTTTGTTTCTATCTCTTCAAGCACAGACAAACTGCTGCACAAACACACAAATGAATGAAGTGGCTAATGGACCAAGTATTGGAATGAAATGAGAGCAGAAGCATATTTCCAGGGGACATGGAGGCAGAGACAGAACAGCAGGAGGAGATGATCTGGCTGCGAGGCAAGGGAATCTATGACTTTTGTTTTGAGGAATTTCATCCCATATATAGGTTCCAGTCGAAGCCTCCATCAAGTGCTAACCGTAAAGATAGGAAACGAATGCAGCTGTGAGCCTTTAAGAGCTGGCTTGAGGTCAATGCTGGCTGGTACTCTATTTGTCCTAGCGTGAGACACTGGTCATTTTCTAATTCATGAGGCTGAGCCATGTGGACACATCTTACTGCAAAGTCTCACATTTGCACACACACACACATACACACTCTTGTCCCTTTACCTAAAGATCTAAAGGACAAAAATCTCATATGATATGACAAAGAGCTATGAGGCCAGTTCAGCTTTTCCTTCCTCTGCTACCGCCACCATTGTCAAGTCCCTAGCCCCTGTATTGACACCTTCGTTAAGTGCCTCACGCACAGTATTTCATTTGGTTTTCACTAAGACCCACTGAAATGTAACATGGTAACTATCAGGTATTGGTGAGAAAACCAAAGACAATAAGGAGAATGAGTTTACCAAATGCCAAACAGATCAGGAGATCCAGGGTAAGGACATGGTCTGACCCCTGGTCAGGGATTGGCAGCTTTCTGAGAAGAACCAGGCAGAATACATTTTCGGCTGTGTGTGCCATGCAGTCCTTGGTTATAACTACTCTATACTGCCCTGAGGGACCAGCCAAGACAGCATAAACAGACAGAGATGCATGTGTCCCAATAAAACTTTATTTGTAATATAGATGGTAGGTGTATTCCTATAGGCTGCAGCTTGCTGACTCTATTCTTGAGTCCATGCTCTTGACCACTACACTAATGAAAACCTAGAAGTCTAGAGAAGAGAGGTTCCTGGGTGTTTTTAATGGCAATGGCCACACTTAACAGCCCAACATATTGATAGTCTACTGAGAGACTGCCTGAATCAGAGAGATTAGCTAACTAGGGATTGAGGAAAGGCAAACAGACACTTACATTTCCACGATGCCCTCTGGCAGGTTGGCAGGGATCTCCGTCAATCCCTTCCCTCGGCAGTCTACGATGTTATTACTGCATGTGCAAGCAGAAGGGCAGGAGAGGGAGTTGGCATTACAGGCCGGAGCCTCTGAGTGGGGACCTGTGGAGCCAGAACATAATGATCAACTCATGCCACTATTAGGAGATTCCCAGTGTTGAGCCTCCTGCTCGGATTCCCAGGCATGCAGCTTTAGTGCTGAGCAAGCTGGTGAATCACCAACAACTAGTATCTCCCTCCTCAGGGAGACATGAAAGAGGTTCTGCCCTTGACCCCACTGTTTGTGGGTCATCTCAGCTGCTTCATTATCCCATCATGCTGCTTCCCAGCACACACCACACACACAATGGAACTATGCCATCAGATTCCAAAGGACACACACAAGGACCACTCTCTCTTTGTGCCTAGCATCTGAATGATACCTTGGAATTTTTGTTTACATCAGGTGATGGGATGTAGATAGTAGATATGACTTCTACTCTAGGGCTGAAAGTCGCTGGGTGTAGGAGGCTAAAAGTGGCAGAACTTGCCCAGTTGCAGGAGGCATCTTGTCAAAGTATCAGTACATTGACCAGAAGTGATACCAAGGCCATATCCAACCATCTTTTGTGTCCAGGGAAGAGTCAAATTAAACTTACTAGATAAGCGGCTTTTAAAATGAGCATTTTGTTCCATTTGAGCTGGGAATCAGTGCTCATTTAAATGTGATTAAAAGCCAAAGCAGATGGTATCTCAGGAGTTTATTTTGAAGACCAAACATACATAGATTTCACTACTAACTCAATGCAGGATTCAAAGAGTCCTCAAGAACCCCCTCCCCCGACGACTCCCTTTGGTGTCCACATCAAACCATAAATGCAAGAAATACATTGAAATGTTTTAAAGACACTGGCAACACTTCTCTGCTTTGATTGCTACCTCCAAGCGAGGAAAGAATCTCAAACATGGGTTTGTTTTTCACACGTGGACCCAGCCCAGAGGCATTCGGGTCCTCAGCCTGTGGTCTTTGGGTGCAGCCAGCAACTGTCATCTCATTGTCTTTCCAGATCTTTCTCTGAGCTAAGGACTGTGAGCGAAATCAGATGAACTCTACAGATTCCCTTACTGCTCAAAGATGGAACATCCGGCTCCGCACTTTTGAATACAGGTAAAATGGGTAAGATGGAAAAAAATCTGCAAGAGGAAATGACTTTTGGTTTGGAGAAAGTGAATCCTGACAGATTCTTGTTACAGAGCTTGAATGAGGAAACCAGCTAGCCTGAGGCAAGTCCACATCTGGACACCAAAGTTCTAAGTGGAGAATTCCACACCTCATATCTAGGAGAGCCCACAGCCCCAAGAGGATCTTTCTGTGAAGCTCAGATTGTGCCTAAAGCTCAATCTAGAGTGTTGTTCTTCCCAGACAGTGCCAATTCACTGACCAAAGATTCTTACTGCCCTGTGAATCATACAAACACACAAAACAAAACAAAACAAAACAAAACAAAACTTAAAGACAGCATCTTAACTAAGATGTTTGACAAAGTGTGTAGACACAAGGACTTTGGAGACACCAGTGACACACTAGAGGACCCAAAAAGGTCCCACGGAACAGTTCAGACATGTGAGCCCAAACTCAAACACACTCTTAAGAGAGAAGGGAATCCGGCTTTACTGCAAGGTCAGAGAAGGCCTTTCTATTTCTGAGAAAGTGGCAAAGCAGAAAGCCAGGATCAGAGTCAGCAGGGGCGTCACTGTCACTGGCAGCTTATGGCACACCACAGCCTCAGTTTTGGATCTTAGTCCTCTTCATTTACATTTCTCTGTGCCTCAATTTTCCTCACCTGTAAAGTGTTGGTGTGTGTGTGTGTGTGGGGGGGTGTCACTGTACCTAACCTATAGCATGTTTTTTGTCATGAAGCAGGGGCAGTGGGTGGATAAATACCATTTATCTTGCCTGACAGGGCAAGAGCTTCCTAGAGTCAGGGTTATTGTCGCTGGGCCTTTTCCTGCCTCCAACTGTCTGAGAGAAAGACAGAGAGAGAGAGAGAGAGAGAGAGAGAGAGAGAGGGAGAGAGAGAGAGAGGGAGAGAGAGAGGGAGAGAGAGAGAGAGTTCTTGGGTAAGCAGCAGCACTGATATTTTCTGATCCCACCTCCGCAGCAAGGCATGAATTCTGAGGTCCTCATTGGGGCTGACCTCCAGAAGAATGGATGCTGTAGGCATGGGGCACCTAGAGATGTGTTTTAGTCTCCCTCCTGGAAGGCACACAGAGGACCCAGCATGGAGGGAGCCCATCCCATCACCCTCATCAACAGGAGGAAGCCTGGGAACAGCTGGCCTCGGATGCCAGGGCTTTTGAAGTGTAGATGACTTTCCCCAAGGAAAACTGCCAGACCAGGCCTTCTACATCAAGGGGTAAAATGCACACGACTGAGCCAGGGGAACTGTCATGCCCTGGACAGCTTCCTGTAGTAGGAAGTGCTGGTCTGAGCCTGGCAAGTCCACCCATTAGGACAGAAAGATCTAAAGATGGTCCCTCTCTTGGGAAGGCAAAATACTACTTGCACGGTATGCTTCAGAAGAGCTGGGGAGGGGGCAAGCACCAAATTAAAGGGCTCCTTTGGCAACAGGAGCTTGTGACGTGGAGTGTTTCAAAGGCGCCCCTCTCAATTCTAGGTTGAAATGGATTAATTCTACACCAGACTTGGGAGTCCCTGGGAACTGCCTGGGTCTTCCCTATGTGTTTCTGAGTCAAAAAAAAAAAAAAAAAAAAAAAAAAAAAAAAGGTATATGCTACATTTGAAGGCACTTAAAAAAAAAAAAAGACTGTGAAAAACACTCCTTAACCAGGCCACTAACAACACCTTTAATTACACAGAGAAAACAACGGTAATTATAGCTTCTGTCAGCACCCTGGGCTGGCAGCTCCCCAGGCAGCCATTCACCACCTTACTGTGGTGAGGCCATTACCTCCTTGTTTAAACACTCCAGGTTTCAATGTGATTGAAAGACAGATCCCCTCCCTCTGCAAGCACTTCCCTCTGAGGAATGATTGAAGAACCAGGTTCAGTCCCCTAAAGGCTCTGGGTGTCTGTAAGTGATGGCGGAAGTCCCACCCCTTTGCTGTCTCTGGGCAGACTGAGAATATAAATTCTATATGGCAATGACCTTTTTTTTTTTTTTTTTAATAGTCTCACTGCTGAGTTCTCACTGCCTAAAACAGGCCTCAAGAGAGAATGAACTTAATTCAACACACCCTGGATGATAAGGAAGGGCACACGAATGAATTGGCTTAGGAGCCTGGGAGAGGTGTGGGGGTCTCCCCCCCCCCCCCAGCTAGGTGGGAGTTACTGCTGGGTGACCCTGAGGGAAGGCTCCCTTTCTGAGTGCTGAGTGTTCTGGCTGTGGTAAGTGGGATCAGGTGTTGAGTAGGAGATGGAATGACCTTGGACGATGGCGTCTATCATTGAAGTTCATTTTTCTCCTGCAGTTCAGCGCTTGCAAAACCTACAACCCAGTGCTGTGGCCTGGCCACAGCAGTGTGTGGGACGCTGGAAGCACTAGCTCTTCCCTGCATGACACAAACATCCGGGTTTCTCAGACCAGGGAGCACATGGAGGGGATGGGGCAGGAACGGTCCCCAGCTAAGCCGCTCCTCAGGAAGGTTTCTGTGGCTGTGGCCACAGGTACAGTAGTGCATTAGTGATCCCTCCTGGGAGGACCATACAGGTCCTCTCCTAGTGCCAGAGAGAAGAAAGTGGGACCTCTGATGAGAAGCTGGCCCCTGCTTAGGTGTCACTCCATCTTTGTTCTTCTCCTATCTGGCAAAACAGGGTGGTCTATAATCACAATGCCCAGGTTTGTCTGCCTAGATGATGGACAGAGATCACTGACTTTGGCCTCAGATGGGGCCATGGAAATGTAAAGAGTGGACACCTTTCTGATAACAGCAGCCAGCACCCAAGAAATGAGAACTATGCTGCATTCAGTGCCCTGAATATGTGATAACTCTTGATCCTCACTGAGTTCAGCCTGTGGTTCAGGCTCTGTTTCTTTATTTCCCACTACACTGATGAAGAAGCTGAAGAGTTGATGGTTAAGGAGGATGCTTAAATCTCATTTAGAATGGCAAACAGGATAGACACCAGAAGCAGTGGAAGAGAGGAAACAGGATGGGAGCCTACTATAGAGGGTCCTCTGAAATGATCCACCCAGCAGGGCATTGAAGCAGATGCTGAGACTCAAGGTCAAACTTTGGGTGGAGATAGACGGGCATGGAGGGGACAGGAGCTCCCAAGGAGACCAACAAAGCTAACGGATCTGAGCCCAGGGGTCCTGCAGAGATTGATGCACCAACGGAGGACCATGCGTAGAGAGGACCTAGACCCCCTGCTCAGATGTGGCCGATTGGCAGCTCAGTCTCCAAGTGGATCTCCAAGTGAGGGGAGCAGAGGCTGCCTCTATCATGAACTTGGGTGACTGCTCTTTCATCATTGGTGTCAGGTGATGCAGCCTTGCCTGGCCATGGAGGAAAAGGATCCAGGCAGTCCTGATGAGGCTTAACAAGCTATGGGCAGATAGCAATGGTGGAGAACTCCCCCTTTCCATGGACAATGGAAAGGGGATAGGGGAAAAAAGGGAGAGAGGGTCAGACTGGGAGGAGCTGAGGGAGGGGGCTTCAATGGGGACATATAATGAATAAATTGTGAAGAAAAAAATTAAAATTAAAATTAAAAAAATTACATAAGACCACAGGGCTATGGAACAATATCTGGCTGAATGCTTTTCTGTCTCTTCTGGGGGTAAAAAAAACAACCCCACCTTCAATGATGCTCTTTATTGCTATAGAATTAAAAATCCTGGAACCTGAGAACCTCAGGAGGTAAGAGGAGTGGCCAAGACATGGACTGCGTAAGCTACACTAGCAAGGGGAGAACACTCTTGTGTTTCTTTTTTTCTGATTTAAAAAAAAAAAAAAAAGCACTCGGCAGAGTGCAGAGGAAAAATATCCAATGGCCTTGTGAGTATGTTGAAATAAATTAATTCCAGTATTCAAATTAAGCTTCCCAACTGGCCTCTGGCCTTTCAAAAGCCAACAACAGACTGTGGTGACAATGGAACTCCAGCAATTACGATGAGAATATAAATGAACATGATTTAAATACCAGAGGCATGATAATTTTGGAAATGGCTAAATAAACCTAATAATCTCATTCCTGCAATGTTCAATTATGGTATTTTAATTAAAACCTCCTAAGGAGAAGGGTGGCTAGACACAGCCTACCTTAATTATCTTTATACTTAGTAACTAGTCTCAAATAGAAAGAAAGAAAAAGAGAATGAAAGAAAGTTTCTGTTTCCAGGGAGATAAGTATGTTTATTTTTGAATAGTAAAAGAAAAAAAAATTATAGAGAGGCTGTTGGATCCAGCATTGTTATGGGGCATCTGAAAACAAATGAGATTTGTCCTCTACTGCTGTAAGATAAGATTGATATCTTTATGAAGAGATATTTCATATTCAAGGCCACAGGTCTGAAGTAGATAGACAAATCAATGGGCTCAAAGACATTCAAAGGAAAGAGATAATTGATTCAGGAGGTCAAATAGTTAACAAATAGCCATAAATTATGAATAATGACAGGTAGGAGCTCTCTGAGATTAAGATATCAGGAAAGAAACACATGAAAAATAAATGTTACAATATGAACTCCCAAATAAGCCCTTTAGATGAAGATGAAAAGAGAAAAACTCACAAATCATGTGACATGAACTTTTTCGCTAATGCATTGTACACTTTGATAAAATTCTGATATGTTCCAAGGGACAAGCAGATGAAACATGGCCTGTGGGTCCTTATAGCCCTCAGGCTCTAGAAACAACAGAGAAATCCTTCAGTAGTCACTGAAGGAAGCCCTGTAGGCAGGCTGTACCACATAGAAGAGACTCTGATAAAAGATGAAATAGAGATGCATGAATGACCTCCCCCTCCCCAGCTAAAAAAAAAAAATTCTCAATTGCTTCCCCAAAGGGAGGAAATAAACGTCTTAGACTGGAAGGGTACAACTGACAGGAGATGCATTTTGCTAAGTGCGTTGCTGGCAGAGCTCTGCTTAGCTAAAGAGATAATGTGCCCATCTCCATGGCTTCTTGGGGGTGATGGGAGGCCTGGCTCAGGAAGGCTGGATTTAATTCAAGGGCGCTGTCAGGGACTTGGGTAGGCAGGGCCTCCCATTTGAGTTAAGATAAGGTCTTTGTTATCTCTGGAGCTGCGTTTGGGGAGCTCCAAACTCCAAACTGAAGAGTCAGGGAGTTTTTTTCTCTTGCAGCTTTGACAGGGACCTCTGGGGATGGCAGGGGAAACTTGACTGGTGCTCCATGCACGCACCTGTTGTTTCTCAGTGATGATCCGCCTCTTTCGGAAGTTCTGGTCCCTCAGTGAGGTCCCTTCTCACTTAGGTTTGTGTTTGGGCAGCTTTAGACAATCCCAGCCAGGTCTGCATCAGACAACCTCACTCAGACGCCTTGCTAGGCTCTGGCCTGAGGTGGGTGGGCCTGCACAAGTGTGCAGGAAGGCAGGAAGGACCTAGGACAGCTCTTCTCTATGCCCTTCTTCTCAGGGCCTCCCAGACCGGTCACTGCTGTCTTAATTGCCTGGTCCTACACTGTTTACTCTAGCATCCCTCCTCGTCGTCTCATAAACCGCTTATATCACAGAGGAGGCGACACGTAGGGTTTGCAGCTCTCATATCTCAACTCCATTTCTCACAGGGGCTCACCAGATCTCCAAACACTGCAATTAAATTTAACTTTTCTGAAGTACCCTGCAGAACAGTCTACACTTTAACCCTTCCTTGGGTGTCTGACAAATCACTGAAAGAAGCCTTTGCACAAAAAGGGAGTCCCTCTATATTACTGCCCTAAGTTGGTACTACCAGTGAGAGGGTGAGATTCATAGCATATTGATGTCTAGAGTTTGGGCGGGGGGTAAGATTCTCATGTCCTCGAAAGACATCCGGCTCCGCATCAGAAATGAGGACCACCGAGAGCAATGGGCTGGGCTGCTTCAAGCAGGGCGGGGAATGAAGATGTTCTATCCCAGTGGTTAGCTAACGAGATTGTTGCTAGATAGGCTTTTCAAAGGGCTAGGGCTCAGGCACCAGCATTTCTAGGACTGGGGTTGGGCGGCCTTATTCTCATGGGGCTTGGATTCTGATTGCTGTTGGCTAAGCACTGTCTGGCCAGTGTGCTGACAGGAGGCAGTTTTCACGTCAGAGGAGCATTCGAAGTCACATGCCACTTTCCTCTCAGCACCCACCTGTCATGTAGTGTTTTTACATCCTCTCTAATTAGTTTTCCTCAGTAGCTCCTCGATGGCTCCTGCACTCTGTAATTATTTCTTTCACTGGCACTTATGCCGATATTGCACCCTTTGCCTGATAATTACTGTAATTATAGCCACTATATTTGAATTTGGTGCCTGTGTGATAAACGGTTTTATTATATGTGTTTGATGGGAAGTGATTTCTAAGTGGGTGACTATAGGAAGTTATTGAGGTGCTACTCTAGATGTGTTAAAAATGTTTTTGGAGAAAAAAAACAATGCGATGGAAGTAATAATGTGATGAGGAGGGGGCAGAGAAGAGAGGGGAGGGGCACGTTGAATTCAAGAACTGAATGAATCACACTCCCAGTCTATACTCTTGGCCATTTTGGGGCCTGGCAACACAAATTGAATTTGTTCAGTCCTCAGTGCCATGCTGGTTGCTGTTGTTTGTTTGTTTTGTCAACTTGAAGAGGGATCCTTAATTGAGAAATTGCCTTCGTCGGATTGGCCTATAAGAAAGTCCATAGGACATTTTCTTGATTAATGGTTGATAGGCAGGTGGTCCTTGGTTGTACAAGGAAACAGACTGAGCAAGCAAGGGGGAGTAAGCCAGTAAGCAGCATTCCTTGAGGGCCTCTGCTTCAGTTCCTGCCTTGGGTTCCTGTCCTGACTTCCCTCAGTGATGGACTGTAAGCTGTGAAATAAACCCCTTTTCTCCGAGTTCCTTCTGCTTGATGCTTTAGCAGAGCAGAAGAAAGTAAACCAGAACAGAAGTGAAAGTGGGTAGACAGCTAAGACAGAGAAAAACGCAATCTGGGCTCCTTGTATACACCTGCTACTCAGGCTCAGCATTTCAGAGGTCACTGGACCAGTCCAGGACCGGTTCTTGGAAACCTATGTGACTCTTACAGAAACTCTGTGTATGCTTTCCTCTCCTTCCCCCCAAATCCCAGGACTTATCTCTACCTCTTTGCCATAAAAAGAGTTGGTAGAGATGAATTGAAACAAATAAAATTTAGCATCTGGTTTAGAAGCTATGCCCTCTGGGAAGATCCTGGGTTACTCAGTCACCTTCTATTCCTGTAGATTTGAGTTGCCTTGTTACGTGTCTGTGTGGTTCAGTTCCAAGCGCTATGTTTGCAATCTGGGCCCCTATCACACTTCAGTCACCCACAGCTCAAACCCGTATGTTTGCTCAGCACAATCTGTGGGCCCACTAAGCTGTAATAATCAAACTTCACAGATCTCACTTTTACCAAGTATTATGCGAAGTGCTCTATAGTCATTATTTTACCTAATCTTCCCACTCATTCTCTGAGCTGTATTTCTAGCATTTCAGGTAAATGGCCACTTGCCAAAGTCACACACCAGTAGGGCGAGCGCTAGGACTTCTAGCTACGTGGGCTTAGCCGGCAATCTGCATCATCCTGTCTCCCCATTTCTGCAAGCATTTGGCGGGGGGCAGAAGCTGTGTTTTGGGGGATCACTGTTAAAACACCTCCATTACACCTGTGTTCTGATGACATGCTGCTCCTCAAATGCGAGGTTTCCTCGCATCAGGGGCCTACGGGGCTCTACAGAGAGTGATCTGTGAGGTCTTTTAACATCTTCTGTTCCAGATGTCAACAACTTTTTTCTCTGAACTTCCTGCAGAATGCAAGCTCTCTAACTCCTTACTGCATACCTTAGCCGACTATGGGATTCCTTCTCAGAAGGTCTGAGCTGGGTATGATCAGGATCCTGGTCGACAGGGCTGATGGGCAGTGGATTGCTGGCTTACCTGGACACACATACTCCTTCTTCTGTACATCTGCCACGTTGAAGCCCCTCAAGTGCACGGGAGCCATGCAGAGGGTGAACTGGCCAATCGTCCGCCGCTGTCGCAGCCAATCCGAGAGCCAGGCCAAATGACAATCACAGTACAGGTGGTTGGAGTGGAGACGCCTTGGAGAAGGAGAGAGAAAGAGAGAGAGATGCCATTACACAGAGAATAGAATGGGCCAGAACTCTGCTGTCCTTGTCCCCAGCACGGTAATTTTTGTGAGCCTAAGGCATCATTCCTGACCCCTATGCAAAACAACAACAACAAACAAAACAAAACAAAAAACCCAACCAACCAACCAGCCAACCAACAAAACAAACAAAAACAAACCAGCCTTGACCTTTTATTATCATGCCACTAATACCTTCATGTATGGGCCACAGTCAACGGGTATCCTGGAGGTTCTGAGCAATTTCCGAGTCTTAATAGTATTCTACTCTTTTCCTTTCTATGCAGGCAAGTATCAAGAGAGAGGAAAGGGATAATGACATCACCGCAGTGTGATGACAGAGGATTACATCACACATCCTAGGATGAGTCAGAGATCCAACAGGGTGACTTTGAGACACTGCACTGGAGGACTTAGAGCTGGCAGGGATGGAGCTCTGTTTCTCCTGTCTGTGGCGCTGTGTGACTGAGATCTGCTACAGCCTCCACTGCCTCTCCTTCATCGCCCCTTGAGTGTTCTTTCTGACCACACAGCATGACATGTGGGGAACTCTAAGCCAGTGCCAACTGTGAACATGAGGCAGGGTGAGGAGGCAGAGAGAGAAGTGCTTTCTGGAGGACGGACCCTCTCTCAACTCTCCTGTTAAATACGGTGTTGTTCTGAGCGAGCTCCTGCAACTCTTTACACTCTCTCCATAATGCCTGTCTTCTCTTTGTCAAGTTCTATTTTACCTGATGGTTGCCTACTCTGACTGATCTTGATGCCTCCAAAAGATTTCCTAACCACTTCTAGACTACAGTTCTTTAGTGGGAGCCATGATTACTGATTCGTTTCTTGCTCGAGTGAGTAAGAGTCCCTAGACAGACCAGCCTGTTTTTCATTTCTGAGGGGAATCCTGTTTGGTTTAAGTGATTTGAGTTTCTCCTATGAGTGGAGAGGCAGGCAAACTCAGGAGCTTCTAGGGAGTCCTCCTTAAAGACTTTTTTTTTTTTTGCCAGCTTTTCTAACTTCCATATTCCCTACAGTTGTTAGAATTGGTGGTGTGTGAGCCTTAGTAGCTCGAAACTCTGGTTTCACTGTAAATTTCAAACGGGTGATCCTGGAAACGCTAATCAGCCAGCTGTTATCTTGGGACTGTCGAGAGCAGTCTAGAGGAGTGGCTTGGATTCTGTCTGCACTATAATGAGAGAACTGAAGGGCCCTTGACCACATCCTGCTTAGCGCAAGGTCAACACTGGCAAACACTAGCCAACTGCAGCTAACTCAGGCTGTGTGCTGGCTGGGCCGTCTGTCACCAATGGGCACAGAACTCCAGCAGGCCAAGTCCACTGGGGCTTCAGATCTCATCATTTCAAGTGGATTAAGCGAACCCCAAACCTCATAAAATGTAAAACTTTTTTTTTTTTTTGCTAAAAATGTCTGTAGATATTAAGTACTTCTTGTATTTCAGAGTAAGTCAGACACACCTTCAGAAGCTCTGAAGCCCTAGACACATAGGAGCTGTAAGGTCCTAACCCATTTCCCTTTCCAAGTCTATAGCTTCTGAGCTAATGCAAGCATGGCCTCCTCTTAGCCTGGATTCTGAGTACCATAGAACAGTTGGGAAGGGCACTGTGGTCAAGTGCGAAAGACCTCAATTGGAAGAGGGTAGACAAGGCCTCTGCTTGCTAATGAGCATGGCTATTTTGTGCCCAGAGCAAAAGGGAAGACCGCTTATCATTTCCTAAACAGCAGGGAGAGGATGAAGGAATTCTCTATCAGTCCCTATCAGATAAAAAAAAGTGCCTGGGCAAATATCATAGTGATTCTGTGAGGGACAGGAGAAGCCCAGGGCAGGTTGCGGTGTATGGTAGGCTGAGGGGGTGGGATTCTCTTTTGTGCCAGGAGACTTAGCCAGTTAATCAGCTTGCCTTTTGTGTGCCCTGATTGGTAATTATGTAATGATGTTATAACAACAGGGATGACTTTGACTGTGGGTCCCGTAGCTGGCTAAATCAGAACACACTCCCATCTGATCCAATTGAGGGTGAGTTTAACAGGACAAGAATGAGGCATAGGGCAAGAAAGGGCCCTAGTAAGATGCTTCTTTTCTGGGTTAACCAAAAAGTTGGAGGCTTCCCTCTGGAAAATGGTGTTAGGTGAGTTCTTTCTCAGCTCTAGCTGGCCAGTCCCAAATTGTCACTCTTAGTCTTGTTATAGATGTTTCTATCCCTCTGATCATCTCTTCCAAGGCGGGGTCATAGAAAAGTAGTGACCTCAACTGATACAGAAGCCACATGGAACCTCAATCAGAAAGCCCGGGGCAAGGGACAGGCTCAGCATCCTCTGCTAGGAATATTATCGCTCAGAAATGATGGCAGGGTCAAGCTAGACAAAGTCTTTAAAGCCACCTTTTCTCACCATGCTTGGAAGATAAAATGGAGCAACCGTGGTCCAGATGCTAAGTACATTTTTTGCTTCTACATGCAACTGCTTGTGCGATGCACGAATGTACAGTATGGTGTGCTTGTATGTGAGTGTGTGAATATGGGCATGTGCATATGCCACTGAACACACTCGGAGGCCAGAGGACAACCTGAGGTGTCAGTCCTTGCCTTCCATCGTGTCTGTGACAGAGTTCTCTTTATTGCCTGCCACTGTGTATGCCAGGATAGCTGGCTCTTGCTGCTAGGGGTTCTCCTATCTCTGCCTGCCATCTTGCCCCAGGAGCACCAGAATTGCCAAGCAGATGTGTACCCTCACATTGGCTTACCAAGTACAGTTTTTAAAAATAATCATGAGCAGTGTGAAATTTGGCATGGAAATTGCTAAGACTCGTTAAAATCCTCTGAGTGAGAAGAGGAATTATTCAACTGCATCCCACAATTTTAAGTTGGGATCGTGATGACGTTAGGGTTTCTGAACCACGTGGAAGCTCTGGTCTCCCCTTGCCCTGTTTGCCTAGCCCTATGTTCTTCTGTTTTTCATCCATCTAGGTGGTGTGAACTCTCACACTGATGTCAAATTACATAATGCTGACATTGGTTCTTGCTTTCTGACTTTGGTTTCAGGGCAGTGATTTCATTCCAGGCCTCAGTGCTACCAGCTGTAAAATGGGAAGGGCTGTTCTGTGGGTTGAAGGAACTCACACAAGGCCTGGCACATGCTAGGGCTCTGGAAGAAACATGTGCTGTTATCCTGAGTCTGAGAAAAGTGTGGGCTTCAGTATCTTTCCAAACTGTGGCCCTGCCCGTATGCAGCTGTAAAAGAAGCCAGGTGGCTGGGGGTCCCTGCATGCTGTACTGTGATCTTTTGAGAACATATTCCATGCGGATGAGACCACCTCTGTGGAGCAGAAGGCGAAGGAATACAAATGCCAATTTACAAAAGGTGCCTTTTAGACACAGATGCCAAATTAAATTTCCAGCAAATCCTTTTAGAGAGGGTCAGTGCTCGTTTTCCATAAAAATGTGGCTTTCTAAATTCCACTGAAAAGCTTTCCTTTGGAAATCCCATTTACGACTTCCTTCCTCTCTCCTCCTCCCTCCTTCTCCAACACCAGTCACCCACCCCCAATGCTTTAATTACAGTGAAGGGGGATTAGTCAGTTCGTCCCCAGGGAGTTCTGTACAGAGCCATCTCTGAATTAAACTAAAGAGAAAATGGCAGCAGGCGGAGAGCAAAGAGAACAGAAGAGATTGATTGATTGATCTGAACTCATCAGATGGATATTTGGGACCATAGAGAAAAAAAAATCACAACAGAAATGAGATAAAACCCCTTATTCGCTCCCCCTCCTCAACACACCTCAGCAGGCACCCAGGAGCTCAGTCTAGCCACCTTCCCCAGCTCCTGTGGACCTACCCTTGCTCTGCCACTGTTGTTTTTAGACTGAAAAAGACACAGAGGGAAGCCTGTCACAGAGGAAGTGTCACCTGCAAGGCTGTGTTCTACAGTGAGAACTTCTGGATACCCACTCCTTTGGGAGAGCAGACCCAGCATCCCGAGGCCCATTTCCTGTTTTGGAACCTGGGTTTCATGCTTCCTCAGCTTGACTGTAGTTTGCTGGGTGCTCAGACGACCAAATGGCCCATCCTTAAAATTCTACTATTTCCAGAGAGAGAGAAAAATGATGTATTTTCCCCATGTGGGTTGCCATCTGAGGGTACCCGACAAGAATCTGGGCAGCAGATATGGAGACTGGGGTCTGGGCTGGTCATTATTGATAATAACCAATGCTACTGTGTGCACACTGCAATGAGCATTTTGCACATCACGTCACAGTGCCTCCAGCCTAAACATGTATTATTAAATCCCTGACCCACAGAAAGATGAAGATGAAGATATGTCCTTAACGGTGAAACCTGTATGTAAACCCAGGTCAGTCCGCTCTAAACTGCTGTGCTTTCTTCCTCTTATTGTTACTATCTTATTATTTCTTCTTACTGGATTATTATCGTATTGTTTCCTTGTAATCTCATCCTTGGCTTTTGTTTTACTCTCACCTGGAGGTAAGCTCATTCTCTCAGGAATGCAGTGCCTTTCAAACAATAAGGGCATGAAGGCTCATTGCCAACAGATTTGTGGGCAAGACCCCAAAAGAGCTCCACCCCATAGACCTGAGAGGGGGCCTGAGAGTTAGTCTTTGGAAAAGATCCAGATGGTTCTGAACTGCTGGTCTGAGAAGTACTGCTTAAAGGATTTTCCGTTCTCTTGGATTTCATGTTGCCTAAGGAGCATAGATGTGCTTGCAATGGCCAGTCCAGACTTCTAGATAATGGTGTGGTGCAAATACATAATGGCATCTGTTGTGTGATGATAATATATAATGCCATACAGGTGCTCTGCATGTGTTTAGTTTCATGTGCTCTTCACCCCATATAGTGAGGGTCATGGGCTTGCTTCTGGAGAACCCAACTTGAAGGCTTAAGCTTACCCAAAGTGTTAAAAGATAAAGCACCAAGTTAATGTAGTCTAATATCTGAATGTTGCCCAGAAAGCAGGAGCATATAGCAGGTGACACCTTGGAGAGACAGAGAAAGAACAGAGACTTCTCCTCCTCACGTGATGGAACTGTCAATGGCATAAAGGAAGTCAACAGGGGTCTCACCAACTAAGTTTTCTGTGTTCTTTGGCAACATAAAACTAAAACAATTTCCATCAAACACAACAAAGCACATTGCAGGAAGATTTCCCATAGTTTAGGGTGATAAGAAATGAGCTTCCCCTGGCACAGAACAGCATCTAGAAGTCACGGATGCACTATGATCCTGCCCTGCACTTCCTTCATGCACCAAGTCCCCACTTGCTTTATGGCTTTGGATACGGGAACTGTGTGCCCATTCACAGCCCAGTAGGTTTCCCAAACAGAGAGAGCAGCACCTGGGTCTGCTTAAGGGAGGAGGTAAGTGGGGAGGGAACAGCCTTTACTCACAGAGTCCGGATCTTTGGCATGTGGTTGAAGCTGGTGACCAGGATGCGGCTGATGTTGTTATTGTTGAGGGTGCTGCAGAGACAGAGGGAAAAGAAAATTATGAATGAGGAGCACTGACATGTTCATGGGTATGGGGGAGCAACGGATGTGGCTGTAAAAAAAGAAAAAAGGTCAAACAAGTGAGAACCAGAGCGGCCAGGTGTCCAGAGACAAGCGGAAACTCTCCAGATGATGGGGGACTCCACAGTCCTGTTGTTCATGGAGGTTCCTCCACCCTCTGTGAACAAAAAAAATCCCTGACTTAATCTTGCTGTGTGTTGAGTTCCTCACTGCAGCATCTTTGATTCTTTTATTTGATTCATGTGTCTGCATATGTGTGTGGGTGTGTGCACGTGAGTGCTGGTGCTCACATATGTCAGAGGCATCAGATACCCTTGCAGCTGCCTGGCATGGGTGCTGTGAAAGACACTTGGGTTCTCGTCAAGAGAAATACATAGAAAGGATGGCTGAGCCATTCCTCCAGTCCTAGCCTCTTTAATTCTTACAGGGAGAAGTCAGTTACACGCTACCGTTCTCTTTTAGGAAGAGGGGAGATCTGCTCCTTTTGATTGGTAGTGTGGAACCCCCAAAGGAGATGTTGTTAGCTCTTGTTAAAGATGAAGAGGCTGAGCTACAGCCAAGAAAGGCAACTTTCCAGCTTTGCCACTGACACTCAGCTCTGCAGGTGGGAATCTGACCGAGTCCTCTCTCTCTCCTTGTTTTGTTTACCATACACAGTGCCTTGTACATGTTGCTACCTCGATAGGTTAATCGGTATTTTCCAGGCATCTTCTGGCCCTTCAAGAGTATCTTAATTTATCTCAAGAGGTACTATCTCTCCCCCTTCCGGTGTTCTCCTTGACTGTAGATGGAGTTCCCGTGGGGCAGTGTTAGTACCAATTAGCCCCTCTGACAGGGAAAAGCATGAGCTGTACAAGCGGACCTATAGAAATGAAGCTGCTGACGAATTGAAAACAGGATCTAGGAAAGTACTGCCTCATTTTACCCACTAAAAAGACCCATTATGAAGCCCAGGGGAATGTGGTAGTGAGGGAAATCTCTTTGCAGAAGTTCTGCAGTTCAGGTCAATGAGATGTGGCAATATATTAGAAGGTCAGGCCTGGCTCTCTGGTTCTGACCCACCCCTGCTTTGCTTTGCATTCCAAAGAGCAAGAACTGGATCTGCCTTTGGTTATGCTTCATGCTGCCCACTTGTTCCTGGACCTTTTTTTTTCCCCTCTGATTTTTCCAGAGACATACCAGCTCCCACGTTCTTCTCATCAACTCAGCTTCTCTCACTCTCCTCTAAGCCACCATTGGTCTTCACCGGCTCAAGAAGGGGCCATTGCTAGTCAGGAGGTCTGTGCTGTGGGCTCGTGGTAAATATATTATTACCTTCTTAAGGCGCTTTCTCTGCGAGCTACAGGCTCAGGGCATGTAGTCTGCTTTTGGTAAACAGAGATCATCAATTTACTGACTGTCTTGGAGAGAATCTGATCCTATCCCGGAATATTCTACTCCCTTCAACCTTCCAGAGAAAAAGGGTGCTTCATTCAAACACTTGTCACCCCATGCTCCAACCCTAGGGGCCCTGCAGATGACTTCTCCAGCCCTTTCGACCTTAGCACCAAACAGGGTTCCAGTGATCACATGAGCTACTCAAATCCACTCCTCAAATGCTCTGGCCTCTCCATGACTTGCTTGGCCAATAGGAGGAAGATCGGGGTAGGGGCGCACAGGAGAAGAGAGGCTAGTTCTTGTCTCCCTACCCTCTGGCATTCTCTGAAGATGTACTACAAGTCTGGCACCATGCTAGGCATCCAGTAGAGATGCACACAGCCACTTACAACCACACGTGTTTGTGTGCCCACACTGCTCCACCAGTTCAGAAATAGAAACTTCCTGGTGGTTTTGGGTAGCTCTCCCCTGCAGCTTGTTTTCATGTCTGCCTGCTTGTCTATCGAGGAAGCCTTTGGGGTATTGTGTCAGGCAACACTAAAGAAGTCATCGCCCCCATTAGGCTGTGCTACCATTCTCTTCCGGATCAGGAGAGTAAGTCTCCAGGGCAGAATCCGGGCTGTCACTTTTTCCAATCACTTTAGAGAATTTCAGCCTCTACATTTGGTGGAGCACAGCATCACGTGCAAGGTAATGCATACAACGAACAAAGTCAGGGAGGGAGCAAGCAGTTCAGAACCTACCGACAGAGGTTAGCAGCTACAGCAAAGGAGAAAAGCCACCTGGCCTGCCTGTGTTAGGTTTGTTGAATTGCTACCAAACAAAACTCTGAGCATCTTCTTCATCAGTCAAAGGCAAAGTGCAGGGAGGCTCAACAGTCCCAGCCAGTCACCATCAGGTGGAGTTCACAGCCAGCCCTCGCTTGGCTGCAGATACAGGGCAGCTAGACTCAGGCTTCGGCTGGAACTGTATCCAGCAGTAGCCCAGCAGCAATGACTTATTAACGTATTACTACACTGATATTTAAATGCGAACCGTAATGAGAGCTATAAAACATTTACGATAATAGCAATTATTCCAGAGCCTGAATGACTAAACACAGTATTCACACTTTCATGATTTGCTGCTTGAGGCTGGCTGGCCCGGGGATGTCAGAAGGTTGCTAACCTCTTAGACGCTGATTGCCGGGAGCCGTGGTTCCTATTTTGCTAAGAAACACAGATTCTTTTGATTTCTGGTCTTGGCAGCTTTGGCCCAGGGAGGGAATGCCACACTCTGTCTGGCTCTTAGGTCCTGCCTAAGCAGCTGGCATTCAATAGGAGAGTTGGCATGAGGTTCCCAGTGCAGAGGGGCAGAGCTGGTGAACATGGCCCTTGTTAGAGTCTGGCTCTGCCGTTTATAGCCTACGTCACCATGGGTAACTTTCTGAATTTCATTACCTTTCTCCTTTGCAACATAGGGGTAATAACAATGATTTCACAGAGCGCAGGCAATGATTAAGTGAAATGGCACCAATCCCCGACATTAATCATGAGCTCCTTACATGGAGGTAGGCTCTGGGCTATGGCTCTATATCCTACCATTAGATTCCTCTCACTGAGGGGTGGAAAGCGTTTACCTTGCGATCGTGAGAACCTGAGAGTGATGCCTAGAAGACACACCCATCCCTCTCACTACCCTGTGAAGCAAGTGGTAGTGTTAAGACTTGAACCCCAAGCAAGTTTGATTTCAGGCATGAGGGGTGTATAGGCTTCCTGTTGCTGCTGTAAAGATGACCCTGGCTTTGGTGACTTGAGTTTATTTTCCTACAGTTTGAAGATCTTAAATCTAAAGTGGGTCCATGCGAGTGCATTTCCCAGGAGTCTTTGCCGGCAGAGTTTTGTTTTCTCCCTATTGTAGCTTGAAGGGAGTGTCTACATTTCTTGGTCCATGACCCTGTCCTCAAGTCACTTCACCCTCCTAGGACCTTACGATGATGGTCTAGCCCTCACTTAAGGAATCTAGTGATTACACTTATAGAATCTCTGCTGACACGATCTTTAATTTTCAAACGGCCCCTTTGACCATTTAATGCAACACCCACAGATTTCTGAGATGAGGCTGTTGGGATCTTTGGGAGGCTGTTATCTAACCTCTTGAAGCAAGGTATGTAAATCACTCAGTATGGGGTGATGTTCAGAACTGTCACTGTTGCCACTGTGGCTTTGGTTAGTCCTTTTTACTATGGTGTCACGGAATCTCATTTTGACACAGCTAGCATTCTGAGGTCAGGACGATTACCCCCATTTTAGGAGAGGCTGAGGGTCCTGTGTGGGCAGCACACTAGCTGCCAGTGAATTCTAGACTGGCTGTTCTTTCTTCCTGTCTCATTTCCCCGACTCAGCCGCTGCCCTTTGCTTTTAGGCAAGCTGGCCACTGCAGCACAGTCCTTATCTGTCCTCACATCTACTCTGGACCCAAAGCTAGGAAATCTGCATAAGTCTCCTGTCACCTCGTGTTTTATAAGCCTTAGCAGAAGAAAACAAAAGGCTCTCTCTGCCAGTGCCCCTGTTCTCACTTCCCCACAGTTTGTTGGCCTGCTCTGTGCTGCGATGACCTTGTCAACCTCATGTATTTACCTCCATTCCCTTGAGAAGCCATGCTGGTTCTGAGTCTGCCTTCAGCGGCCTCATTTTGCTCTTCTGAAGCTATGTGGAGAAAAAAGTTCTTCTCCCAAACTATGTAGATAAGATTGGAAGTTTTTGTTTTTGTTTTTCCTTAAGTAAATACTGTTAATGCAGCACTTTTCTTTAGCTTTCAAGCTCAAATCTGGGGTTAAATTTATTTTGTTAATTTCTGTTTTATGTGTATGATGTGTATGGGTGTTTTGCCTACATGTAACAATCTACATCATTTTCATGCCTGGTGCCTGTGGAGACTAAAAGAAGATGTGGGATTCCCTGGTTAGAGCTAATTGTGAGCCACCATATAGGTACTGGGAATCAAACCCAGACCCTTGGGAAGAGCAGCCACTGCTCTTATCTACCAGCCCATCTTTTCAGATAAGATTCTGTAAATTTCAGGACTTATCTGGCCTCCCCCATTTTCAACAACCCGGAAGGACACTTGATTCCAAAAGGACACTCCAACCTGAACCCTATGGGAAACATCTCCCTTCCTCACAATGACAGTCTGCTTCTTTCCTGCACCTCTCGTATTAAGTTCTTACAAATACTTCCCTTCAGTGCTGAAGCAAGTTGACCCAAATTCTAGTCCATTGGCCCTTAGGCTCTGTCAGACTCAGAGCACAGCTATCAAATAAAAAGTGACCAGTGCCACACTTGCCTATGGATCCCATGACTCCGGGCATTAGAAAGGGCCTATTAACTTTCTTATTCCAGGGGCTGGAAAGCTTGCTCAGTGGTGGAGAGCACTGGCTGCTTCCCCAGCGCCTACCTGAGGTTTTCTGCTGTCTGTGACTCCAGTTCCAGGGGACCTGACACACTCTTCTGGCTGCTGTCAGTGCCAGGAATGCACAATCAAAATAATCCACACACACAGAAATGCGTGAATAAAAATAGTTAATTTTTTCAAGC